GAACTATTAGGTATGTCTATGAAGCGGGGAATATACCCAAGACCATGTGTAGGGTTGGCAGACAGTGGTCCTGTAAGTGTATTTGTATGATCTGTAAGAATTCCCAAGTGTATAGTAGAGCTGACAAGGGCCAAAGTTGTAGTCACTTCTTGGTCACAGCCAGCTACCCAGGAAGTGAGTAGTTGAACTGGTGGGCTCGGGACCATAGTCACAGGGGGCATCAAGCTCATTTGGCATAACATACTACACAAAACATTGTTCCACCTCCTACTTTGGTGAGTAGCAACTGGGTTCTTAAAAGCTTACAAGCAGCCATCTAGATGCAACAATGAGTCTCTCCTCATCCAGAGCAAAGAAGAATGAAGAAAACCAAAGTTTCATGGAAAGAATTAGTTCTAGCGGCTGGTATACCATGCAATCCTCAGCCTATACGACTGTGAGACCAGAAGAACTAGATGGTGCCTGGCTACCACTGTCAACCACTTGGAGAGGGATCTATGTAGGAGATCCTGGATAGAGTGGGAGAACAGTATGGAATAAAACTCAAAATCATTTGGGGGAGGAGGAAGGGGGGACCAGGTTTGCTGGTCTGATAGAGCCTGGTGGAACTACTGAGACTCTGGGCCCTAGCTGCCCTTCAGGTCTGGAATTGAACCCACAACTGTGGCTTCCAGCCAAACAAAAGATAGACATATGAGTTGAACATTTACATTAGGTAGATACACTCCCTGGAGAGAACAATCATGGGAGAGAGAAGGGCTGTTTATGCACAGGGAGACAGCTCAGGGGGCAGGAGTGCATGGAGGGATGGACACAGAGAAGAGGTAACTATGGGAAGAAGGTGGGAGGGGAGCTGTTGCATTGTGGTAAATTATAGTCAATGTCATGAGACAAAGTATATGTGAACTGCTGTATGGAAAGTGAATTTGCTCTGTAAATTTTCACCCAAATCACACACAACACAAAAGATGGCATTTAATTAAAACCAAACCAAAATTTTTAAGAAGTTTAAAATAATAATAATAATAATTTGACTCATCGAACACTAATGCCTCAAGAATAGATGAGTTGTAGGATGGCATAAAGAATGTCATAGTTGAAGAAAGCAAAAAGTCATTAAAAAGACAGGAAAGAAAGAAAGGACCAAAATAAATGTCAGAAGAGACACTGAAACTTGCTCTTGAATAGACTGTCTAAAGCAAACAGAAGAAATGATGACATAAAAGAGATGAACAAAACATTTCTAAGGGTGACTTGAGAAGACAAAGTAAAATATTATAATGAAATGTGCAAAGACCTGGAGTTAGAAAACCAAGAGGGAAAGACATACTTAGCATTTCTCAAGCTAAAAGAACTGAAGAAAAAAAATTAAGTTTCAAGTTGCAATATTGAAGGATTCTATGGGCAAGATATTGAGCGATGCAGAAAGAACCAAAAAAAAAGATGAAAAGAATACAGAGTCACTGTGCCAAAAAGAATTGGTTACATTCAGCCGTTTCAAGAGGGCAGCATATGTTCAAGAACCAGTAGTATTGAAGGAAAAAGTCCAATCTGCACTGATGGTGTTGGTAAAATATAAGCCTCTAGAAAGTGACTGAATACCAGTTGAGGCTTTTCAACAAATGTATGCAGTGCTGGAGGTACTCGCCCTTCTATGCCAAGAAATTTAGGACAGCTAGCAACTCGCCAGCCAATTAGAGGAGATCCATATTTGTGCCCATTCCAAAGAACAGTTATCATAACTATCACAAGCAAGTAAAATGTTGCTGAAGATGGTTCAAAAGTGGTTGTAGCACTCATCAACAGGAAACTGCCAGAAATTCAAGCTAGATTCAGAAGAGGACGTAGGATGAGGGATATCATTGGTGATGTCAGGTGGATCTTGGCTGAAAGCATAGACTACCAGAAAGATGTTTACCTATGTTTTATTGACTATGCAAAGGCATTCCACTGTGTGGATCATAACAAATTATGGATAGTGTTGCGAAGAACAGAATTCCGGAACACTTAATTGTGCTCATGCAAAACCTGTGCATTAGACCAAGAAGCAGTTATTCAAACAGAATGGAGATATTACACTGTTTTAAACCAGAAATGCTGTGCATCAGGGTTGTATCTATTCCTTATACTTAGTCTGTGTGCTGAGCAAATAATCTGTGAAGCTGGAGTATATGAAGAAGAATTTGGCATCAAGATTGGAGGAAGACTCATCAGAAGCCTGGGATAAGCAGATGACACAGTCTTGCTTGCTGAAAGTGAAAAGGACTTGAAGCACTCACTGACAAAGATCAAAGACTCTATCAGTATGGATTACACTTCAACAGGAAACAAAAATCCTTACAACCGAACCAATAAGCAGTCAGATATTCACATGCTAGAGTCCAGCTCCCTTTCTAACACCCTGTAATGAGGTCTACCCATCCAGAATCCTGCCCCTGGACAACTGAGCTGCTTCTCCTCAATTTTTGAAGGCCTCACTTTAAAAAGGAACACCAAGAAAGACATAGAGAGGTACATGGGAAGTACAGACAACAAATATGAACCCTTTTGCATATACAGTACTGAGTTGTAAGTGAAGGCAAAC